AGTATTGAATGGAGCACTGCGCTGCACTGTTACACACGCACACATAAGCACGCACACGAACACTCACACACGCATTCACACGAACACACGCACACACACACACCTGAGTTGGACCGCTACACAGGTGAGCTGACCAAACTTCTGACTCATTCGGCCCCCGACGAGTTCCCGAGGACAACAGGAGCAACGACAACAAAAATGATCACACTTTATATCGTATTATAAATGTTTTCATTAGACAAAGTATAACCAACATTTATAAGAATGATAACGATGTATATACTTTTTTTGCGTGTTTCCAGTATTGATGTATTCATGATCGGCACTTTCTTAATGAAAAAATGAGCGAAGTGTTGTTCCAATTCCAGTAGTGGTGCCTGGAGCTAAATAAATGCGCGCACAAACAGGCACATTTACACCAAGCAACAATAAAGGCTCGCTCCATTTTAACGTCGAGGAAATTTCCAAATGAACCGAGTGTTCAAAATAGCCTCATTTGCACGTAAAATAGACGCAATTTTGGAGATTTGGACAATTCTGCGAAATTCCTGCTTTCCCCGAAGCGACAAAACGAACACAAAGATTTAAAAGCTCAAGTTTCGAGCAGTCGAAAATGCTTTACACTGATTAAGGTTGAATGTTTTATATTAAATAAATTGTCTCATGAACAGTGAATTCGTGGCTTGGGAAAGTTTTTACCTACATAAACACATCTTACATAATTTTATTCGGATAGTAATTATTTGAAATTGCCATTATGAGACTCGAAATTATGAGACTCGAAAATCAGCTTCGTTCGCTGATCTTGATGTAGTGTAGGTAATTCGCTAAATTATTATCACTAAATTACGCGTGCGACCACATTATGTTCATTAGACGGAAATGCGAACTTAATTATAAGCTAAAATCTTTCGCTCTTAAATTGCCTCATTGTGAATATAAAAACTGACCACGAACTGTTAAAATTGACTGGAGTAATAAAATTATAAATTATCATTATAAACGAAGTCAAATTGATTTTTGCGTCACAAATCCTAATTTCATCAAATATCCACAACACAAGTTCGAGAGAAAAGCAACGTTCAACTCAATAAACGCGTTAACATATCAAATCGCGTCAGCTTTCTTCGTGAACGCGGAGCGAAATAATCTCCGTCTCGTCTTATCACGGATAGCACTAAATCTTTTACTGCCGGAAACCGGAGTAAAAAGTTCAAACAATACTTGAACAAGATCCTAAAAACAGAGTTAACTTAAAAAACGCTGTCAAGTCTACACACTCGACATAGTTTCCATCTCCGGCAGTCATCCACTAACAGCAGACGGCGGCTCTCCTTGGAAAACTTTGAAGAAGCTTAGAAAAAAATTGGGAAGTGAAGAGAACAATTTTTGCTACAATACCGTGGAGCTGCACATTCCGTCTTAGTTTAGTACGGATATAAAGACTCGAAGCGAGAAACTCTGGATCATAAGGACACACATGTAAACGTGGAAAATAAGACCTCTAACTTTCCATGTCCATTGGTACTTCTGGACGTTTTGCTAATCTCACGGTAAATCTGAGGTCATTCTTTAAAGTAAAAAACGACATTTTTTTCATTATTTCTAGTGGTTAATATGCAGTGTTTACAAGTAAAAAGTTCTGCTGTTGAGCAATTAGTTCAGTACATACCAAAGCTGCGTAGCTTTTAAGCATCACATGTTCTGATATTACATGTATACTCAAACTTCGTTGGCATATCAAAGCTATGTTTTTTAAAGATTAATTTCATCGTTACAATAATACCTATAATCAACGACGTAAGAAGCCGTCTTCGAACAACCTTCTTTCAAAACAAAAAAATGCCATTCTAATTTTCTTATATAAAGAAAAATACCATTCGAATTTCCATGTATAAAGAAATGGGGATAGACAATGAAATCATGCATGTTTTGGATTAAGCAAGCAAGCGTCGAGAACACAAGTCGCGTCTTTATAGTCGCGCAGCAACGGGTGACGTGGCAGTTCCAGTGGCGCCGCCAGCCTGTCGACGGAAGCCCCAACAAATTCATCCAATTTAGATCCCGGAGAGGGGAAGAGGGAAGAAATAGAATAAAGCATAAAGAAAACGAGAAGGATTAGTGAAGACAAAGCTAGCAAGGAACTGTTTCGTGCCTTTTAGCAGACTAGATATTCATTTATTAACTAACACGTGCCCTAACGCGCCTATAAACGAAGGCTTTTAGTGTAGAGGAGATAAATAAGCACGTGAAAGTCATTATTAAAGACACAAGTTCATTCGAAGAGTTATAACTCATAATCATTTAAGTTACTATTATATTGAGAAGCCATGATCAAATAAAATTTACAATATATAGCAAAGCGCAGAAGCCTGGCTTCCAACTGTTGCGCATACATGGACATGAGTCACACGCATGAACCAGCTACACGCTCAAGCTCCAGCCAGAAACGTGTTCATTAACCAGCGACACGTTCATGAACAACCGACACGTTTGTTCATGAACGTGGCATGTTCATGAACCATTGACCCGCTCATGAATCAGCGACAGGTTCATGAGAATCAATTGAAGGGCATGAGTCACTCTCAGTCATGTGAAAAATTCAGACAATGAAGTTGAGTCACTCCAGCCTCTATAATCATAAGAAACATTAACTGAGTTTCTTCATTTGAACTACAGCAGCTGTTTTTTTATTACTTCTTAAAAGAAAAGCAGCTGTGGAGTATGAGCCACTTTAGTCACAACTTTCACAAGAGGCAAGAAGCTGATGAGCACCTGTCACTGAACTGAGTTTAGGCTTAGATCCTATCCCCAGCGGCCGAATTCTATTACCTTGCTCGCACGATGAGGAAAACTCCATATTTTCCGAGCTATCAAGATATTCATGTTTTGGGGGAGAGAAATTTGGTGATGTTCGAGAGCATGAGGGTGGAAGTTTTTAGCGGGAATCTTATACGCCCAAAATATTATTTGTCTCATGAAAGACTTCATTTTCAAGTAGATTTAAATTTGTATTAAAGCTTTAACGCAGTTATGTCAAACGATAGAAATGATCATTGCATGGCACAACTCACAAGCAAATATTTTAATTTTTAATACGTATAAAGCATGCAATAAAGCCTTGCCGCCTTGGTTCCCGTAAGTATATAAAGTTAATTAATTACGACTCATTCCTTCACTGGGCGTATTTTTTTCATTTTACGGTTGTACGTCCATAGAGACCGAGTTTCTTTGCAATGCGAGTGCTCATTACAAATTGCAATCTTCATAATTTCATACTACCGGACGCAACAAACAAAGTTTATAATCCAGGGAAGAGGCGAGGTTACCCCTCTACGCCTCCGCCCTTTGACTTCCTGGCTCGAGCAACGTTCCAGCCGAGCCGTTATCCATCCATGAGAAACCATTTACCGCTTTCTTTTGCGACAATACCTCGAAAGTCATCGTAAAATTCTTACCATTGTATACATATTGTTATTTTACCTCATCCATGCCTTCACCGTATCACAATATATACAATTATAATCACATAATTGTAACACGAAAGACTTAAAAGCTGTAATGGTTGTGGTAACTGAGAAACGACAGCGTGGTCTGGCACAGATTCACGGCACTGAACGGAGCGTCGCAGCACCACACCACTTCAATGTTAGATCAGCACTGGCTTCTTTGACTGAGCGTCGTGAGCGACCGAATCGGACCGATGCGATCCGATGAGACCGAGTCGGAATGAAAGATTCATTCCTTATGTTGCTTGTCGGTTCACGGCGAGCGATTAATTTTACGCAATTATTCTGCTATTAGGCAATTCCTATTCTAAAAACGTATATTCGACAAGAATTCGTTCTGAAAAGTATCCATAACAAAAAATATCGATTTCATCTCGAAATTTGCATCTTAATTACCAGAAGCGTTGCCGGTTGCACGCATGAGTTTCTCTCACGTCTGGTTCATACTTCTTACATAATGAGACGCATGCACGCTTTAGATTTACCAGGAGCAGAATGCATGCGTTTCTCTCTTGCGCTAGGAAAACGTGCGTTATCCTAGCAGCGTTACATGTGCGTAAGTTCAGCAGCGTTACATGTGCGTAAGCTCAGCAGCGTTGCATGTGCGTTTCCGCAGCAGCGTCCCATGAGAGGTCTTCCAGAAACGTTGCAGGTACGGTCATCCTCTTGCTCGCTGCGTCTGGCAGGCCGTCAGTTCGCGCCAGTATTGCGACCGATCCAGGCCTGAAATTCGCGGGAACTAACATGGCGCTCGAGGATTGGGGCTTGCTGCTCAGGATAGACTGGACCAGAAATATTTTTGCAAATATGGGACATCGTAATGTTTTTCTGTGAATTTTGTCTCTCGTCCGGCAGCCCAAGTCGAGGCCTTTGACATCGATAAACAAATACTGAATTTGTGCGATAATGGAATGAGTGAGGCACTACAATCAATATAGCCTAAAGCAAAGATTTCAATTGGTTTCTGACTTTAATCAATGAAGGGCAGTGGTTTTGATCGTTTTTTTCACTATAAGTACTATAAAAGTGTTTTAATTGGTTTCTGAAATAAGCTGTAGTTGCGTAATGTAGCGTGGCGTTATCAAACAAACTAATTCCTTTCGATACGAGGATGATTTCTTATGAATCTAAAGCTCGGTAGAAAGAATGTACAACAAAATTCTGTTTTATTTAAAAAGCTTGGATTGCTTTCATTCATTTTTCCAAAGAGAAAAATAAATGGGTCATGTTGTATACATAATGATTTTATGTCTTACCCTCAGTACTAGCAGAGAGCGGACGTAGCACTGATATGCCCTATTGTAAAGCAAAACTGGGCTAGAATGACCCACACTTTAATAGGCTCATTTTTCTAAGTGTACATTCGAACTTTAACCACAAGATAGAAAACATTATGAACGAGGAGTTAATTTAAAAAAAGGTAAAATTGTATGTCTAAAAAGTCAATTAATTGTATGACAATACAATTATTAGGTTAATGAGAGTCCAACAAGAAGCAGTAGTCAACGTTCAATGTAATACCTGAGCAATTCACAAGAACCCGAACACATACATAAATAAGAAAGAATCATTGCTTTTGGAAGTTCAGCACTGAGCCTTGAAAGTCCTGCAGGCTGAAGCTGAGGTCGGCAGCGACGTACGCCACGGTCGCCCACAGCGCCGAGATTCTGTCAAGTACGTCGGAGTTCTCGACCTCCATCGAGTCCCCGGCGGAGTGGTGGAACCAGAAGTACCGCTCGTTCGCGTTGTAAAGGGAGCCTGTGAAATAAAGGAAGGTGTTGCTATGAGCTATGTGGCGGAAATAGTAATACCGCTCGTTCGAGTTGCATTGGGAGACTGAGAGGAAGAAGGATATGTTGTTGTGATCGTGGTGGAACCAGAAGTACCGCTCGTTCGCGTTGTAAAGGGAGCCTGTGAAATAAAGGAAGGTGTTGCTATGAGCTATGTGGCGGAAATAGCAATACCGCTCGTTCGGGTTGCATTGGGAGAATGAGAGGAAGAAGGGATGTTTTGCTGCGATCGTGGTGGAACCAGAAGTACAGTTTGTTCAAATTGTCGAGTGAGAATGGGAGAACGAGGAGAGATGTTTGTGTGAGCTATAGTGGAGGGAACTGCAGTTGGAACTTGACGAAAAACATACATAAAAAAATCTATAAAGAAAAATAAAATTATCGCTGGTCCGGGTATAACGTAAAGTGATAGTTAAATGTATGTAACGCGCGGTGAGGAATATACTGTTCATCTGTACGGTAATACGGGAACAAGCGCACAGTTCAGGCTAAAGCATGTATCATGAGTAAGTTCAGGTACCATCGTATTAGCGTATTGGACAGTCTTTCAGCAACACAACCTGCTTGTAACATTTGCTACAAATTTACTGAAAAATATTCACTATTACAAATGCAAACTTAATAAAGCAAGAACAATAAATACATGCTATAAAAATGCTCTACTATCAACAATCGTTATATTAAGAGGATAACGTCGAATAAACATATATTTTTATACACTTTTTTGGACTTGAATACATCAATGCTATCATATTAAACATACCAATGGGAACGCCCTCCGCGACCCAGGGTCCGATGTCCGGACCATCAAAAGAAATCACCAACTGTGGGTTTTGCATAAATTCATTTAGTTATTAGATAGTGCAATCGATTAGATGTTATAATTTAGTAGCAAGAATTTTTATTTCATTTTCAGCATACTAAAGCACATACATAATGATTTGACGAATAAACATGTTGCAGCATATAGCCTTTACTAGTGGATGAGTAATTTTGAAAAGGTCGTATAACAACAACGTCTTTAATTTGGTTTTATTTATTGCAGGTTATTATTTATGTACGTAGTAGTTTCTTGCTTGCATTTTTATTGTTTAAGCTCTGAACCTCTTTACCTGCTCGCACATAAATGTCCGCGTTGTGTTTACTCGTACACAACACAAGCGAAAACAGCCAGTCAAATTGTCATCTTTTAATAAGTAATAATAGTAATTTTTTGTCATCTCAAATAAGTTTTCAAGAACCTAACATCGGGATGAAAGTTGTTTCGTATGTTGCGCTTAGCGGTATTAAGCTAGTGTATAAAGTACACATCGTGTATATATACTTAGTGAAATAATCGGAACCATGGAAATAATCGGAAATGAAGAAAGTGAATGCGCTAGCTTATAAATGTAGCACACAATTTTTATTTGCTACTCAAGCTACGTGAGAATCACACGTTGAGGGATGCCTCATTGTTTCAATAACTGCAACACAGTTTGTTGTATCAATTACTGCAACACGGTTTATTGCTGCAATTACTGCAACACAGTTTATTTTTTCAATCATTGCAACACAGTTTATTGTTCCAATTTTTGCAGCGCACCTCAGTGGTGTTGATGGCAGCCGTGAGCTTCAAGACCTCCTGCAAGATACAAGCCACGTCCGGTCCTGCCCCCACACCCAGACCCAGGGGAGCAAACGTCCCCATGTCGGACTCGAGGATGAGCTGGTAGCGGGCGCTCTCGTTCCTGTGCAGCTCGAAGTACGCCTGCGGAGTGCGGCCTCGTGATACAAAAAATATATAACTCAGTACTCACTGCAGTGAGTGACAGAGAGCGCATTTTCTCGTCGACGAAAATATGAAGTCACGGACGGACAGACAGACGGACTGACGGACGGACGGACATGGCGAGCACAATAGTGAATTTTTTCCATAAATGAGAAAATGCGCTAAAAATAACGTTCTTAATTCATTTCAATGTGTAAAACACGAAACTGTTTGCTTCTTCCATTCATTTTTTTTCATTTCAGAGAAGTGGATAATTTTGCTCTGTATATTTCTCTTTGTTTTCACGAGTGTTCCTAAAAACAACATCGATTTTTAAATTTTCTCAAAAGCCCCAAATTTATTTATTCGTTTACGGGCACTGTAGCACCGTTAAAAAGAAAATTTAACTAAGCTTCTGCTGCATCGATGGAATTGTAGGATGGACGCGAAAAAAGTTCTGACCTCGCCACCGATGATGCCGAACTCTTCTGCTGTAAACAGGATAGTTCTGACCGTCCGGCGCGGTCGTAGACCGATCTCCTTCAGCGCCTTCGCCGCGTGATACGACACGAATACTCCGCCTGCGCGGGAAAACTTAAGTGATGTTGGGTTTCACACAACGAAGAAAATAGTATTGATAATTATAATTGTTATAATAATAAATGAATAATATTAATAACCATTTTTTACAAATTATAATCGTCTTTTTTATTGTGTTTTTTTTATGGCAACTCACTTTTACACAAATAAATAGTAAGAAATGATCACATATTCCTTTGTTTCCTGATAACTATCGTCTTTACGAAATTGAAATACAAATATCGTTGAAAACTGTTGATGTATATGTGCATGAGGATTTAAAAAATTTTCCTGACGATTTAGCAATCTATAAAATACGTAGGCAATCTTCTTCAATTCGAAAATGCACAATTTTTGCCAGTCAAAAACGTAGCATCACGCCACAATGTCTGCACAGACCTGCGTCGTCCATGGCCCCGACCCCACCATCCCAGGAGTCGATGTGTCCCGACACGACGACCAGGTCGTCCGGTAGTGCGGACCCCGTGTAGTCGATGATCGAGTTCCGTGAGAGCGCGTCCGGGAAGTTTTCCGCTTCCATGTACAGCTGGATCGTTATTTGGTTACCTGGCAATTAAGAATGAATCGGTCGAGTTGGAGATTAAATTTTTGTGTCCGGTATTAAGAAATCGACAAGCGTCCTGATTACCTTAATATAATTTAAAAGAATGAAAATGATTTCTCCACGCATTATAAATTAAAATTAAAATCCTTCATATAACGCATAATGCTTGAAGGGAACTAAAAATGGGACAATTAACGACAGACTTAAAATACATATCAGGGAAATCTCGCGGACTACAAGAATTTCCGGCTGCCTACACGTCCCCACTAAATTGAGACTTAAAAGATTTATTTTTCCTTACTCACGATAATAGAATTTGTAGTTCTCCCTACAAAACATGAACCGGATTAAGCATCAGTCATTGAGCATCAGGTTGTTGTTGTAGCAACATCAACCACTAGTCCGCTCCGAGGCCGATGAAGCGCGCCACATCGATTGGCTGCGTCCAAAGATCGAGTGCCGAAAGTTGTGTCGGTTTGGCCGGGCATCAGGTGGTTCCGACTTCCGAGTTAACTATTATTGATATAAATGTCTTAACTATTATTCTAATTAAACAACTCTCACCGGACGTATAAAGTCTGTGTAGAGTGAGAGCGTCCTCCTGCGTAATGCATGCCACGGGAATTTTGGTCACGTTTTCCTGGTAGTTTTGATGGCCAGTGTGCGGGGAGCCGATGGAGAAATCAGTGGCAGACCTAACCAGCGCGGCCACGGCTCCTTGCTTGGCTGCGCGCGCAGCCCCGTCGCCGCGGTACTCGGCTGACTGACCGTAGCTCTCGAACGGTTGGTTGTAGACTACGATCTTGCCTGCGACCTTTGAAAGGGTAAAAATATTAGACGTATACATAGGTCATTTGGAAGAAAATGGTACAATTTTGATTCTAATATCTTGTGCCATGATTAGGATTGTTCGACGATGCTATTAACCGCACCTCCTATGCTATTTAGCCGTTGCCAGGTTGTCAAACAATTGTAAACACTGGTAGTAGGTGGTAAATATTGATATTAGTAATCAGCAAATACTACCTTGATTCGCGGAATGTTTTCTCTGAGAGAATATTTCAGTTCGTACCTATTAACGTTTATTATTTATTTATTACCTATAATTTATTTGACAACTGTCGGAAACCCAATCAAACCGTGTGTAATGAGCGCTTTACGCACGTGTCTCTAAAAACATAGGTATAATGAAATTACTTTTTTTACCTTACCTCAAATGAAAAATCCCTCCCCCCAATTTCAATTTGAAACTCTGCAGATCGTTTCCAAAGTTAATTTAGAAACGCCATTGTTTGTTCAGCTGTAAGGCAAAATTAAGTATATCTCACCTGGTCGCCGAGACTCTCAAGCTCGTCAAAGCTCGTGACGACGACTGCGTCGGCCACGATGCCCTCAGGAGGCGTTGCTACCGACGTGCCAAGACCGAGGATGTTGAGCGTCTGCCGACGAGGCTGCAGCAGCATCGCGTGTTCAGAGTTTCTGCGTGTTCGAAACTATAAAATGAGGCCGTACTATGAAGAATAGTTACGAGTTAGTAACTCAGTCAGCCAATCACTGACAGCTTTGCACATCAATTACTGACGAGGTATGGACAGCTACGTCGTGACTTGGGCGAGTTATGATAGTAGTGCCCATGGAGCCGTGCCTTCAAAACTCAATTACGCGTGACTACCAGAGTACACATAACGGCTGATTTCTCGTCTGTAATTGGTGAATTTAGATTGAAAAGCCGTCAGTGGTAGGTTGACTAAGTTACGAACTTATAACTTATTTTGATAGTACAGCTCATGATTCACAATCATGGTTAGATAATTTGACCGCGTCATTTAGAGTACGTTGGAATTTGTCATTTTGTAAAATCGATAAAGAAAATCGAATAGGTTAACTTTTATACGAAATATTAAAAATTATTGAATCGGGAATTTCAATATTAATATCTCGAAATTTTACAGAAAACGCTTTGATAAAAAATTGGCTTACATTCTGAATTTTAGGAATTGAATTCTGGTCGCCAATGGCTTCCTTTTCATTAGGCTTTCGAAAAGACCTACCAGACAACTGGCTGCGGCAACTGATAAATGAGTCCCAGAATCAAAGCGAGTATATTGAATGAGCTGAACTTTTATGTGAGGATTGTGGTGGTTCTTATGCATAGATTTTTCTCCTAAATCTGTGTCTTCCAGCTATGGGTTAAACCGTTAAATTAAAGTATTTGAGAATGTTAGATATGCATTATCTGGCCATTGTCTGTGTTTGAAAATGAATCTTAAATTATAGTTTAGAAGAGGGGCATTTTTAAACACGTTGTTTCGCTTCAACATATCCTTTCGTTGGCTCCGCACACTTGGTACTGCCATTATCGAGCACGATTCATTTACAAATATTATTAGCATCGTTTTCATTCACAAAATAAATGCCCAAGTCATGTAGATGTTCTTGAGAATAGGGATTCAACATGCTGTGCTCAGACTCAGAGCTATCGGTATGACTGACTGATATGAGTACAGCATTTGACGAAATAGTTGCACATTTAAATGTAGCATAACTTATCCGATGTCAGATGTACCAACTCAATTTGTGATAATTTACCTCAATTTTACAAATGCACAATTGTGAACTGTAGTACACGCACGTCAAGGATGATAAGCTACAAAATGTTGCCCCAAGAGGAAAACTTTTATTACAAACGTAAATTTTTATTTTAAAACCAAAAATATATGCTTTTCGGCTTTTTATAGCAGGAAAGATTTCAGAATGAGAGTTAACGTTTAGTTTGCATAAGCGATCGAAAAAAATTAACCGTGACGCAGTAAACTTGCAAAGAATTTTCAACTGAACTCTGAAAAAAGTTATCGCGGCGAGTCGTGCTCTCATAAGACCTTCTTCTCGTTGCCCGTTTAGATTTTTCTGATGAAGTTTTAATTTTGAGGATGCCATGAATCTCCCGTTAATGAGATGGCGGGCGAGAGGAAGGCGTCATGGGACCGACCCAGTAACGAAGTTAGCCGAGATCCTTTTTGGCCTGACATTTACTCAATAAAAAGTAACCTTTCTAAAAGCATAAACCCAGCACTATGACTATATTTAGCGATAAAAATGTAAGCCTTTCTCCTCATTCTACAAGCGTATTTCTTCCGGAAAAACGACACGAGAAGCCTAATAATACACCTTCATATAAAATAGAAAGATTAGATATCATATGATTTGTGGAGCTTGACAATTGACGTTTGAATAGAAATAAAAAGCTTCAATTAGTTCTCTGAATGCATAATACCATCGCGCGAACGCTTAGCTCACATTCGTCATTCGTAATCTTAATAGCGGTTTAATAATGGCGGTTTAAAGGCACATAGCGACTTATCATCTCAAACGAAAATGTCACGAAACACGAAACAGAAAACACAATAAATTTAAATTACTGTACCCAAGCAACTTGCCTTTGCCAATGGGGCACCATGACAGGCTCTGAGAAAACTGCATCAAAGCCGTCGATGACGCCCTGAGTTAGCATGTAGTCGATCGCCTGTTCCAACGTCGCCGTGCCGGACTGGCGAAAACAAAGAAAGAACATTTCGGGTCGAGCACGTGTAACGGGAATATACTGACGGAAAATAAATGCTTGTTCTGCGGATTTGGCCGTTTGTGGCACCAATAAAAAATTGAACATTGCGGAGAATAAAGGATTATAATAGTTTAAATACGAAATGTAAATTATATCCCGAGAAAAAGAAAAATTTAAGTTTTACGTGAGCAAAAAATTGCTGCATCTAAGGTAAGGGATTTAAGCATAGATTTTTGTTGAATTATGCATAGAAAATTGTTTGGAAGTTAACGCATAATTAATCATTGCTGCTGTCCACAAATCATCACAAACGTTAACTTCATTCATATGTTTTTCTCCTTTTTTCCAACACCAAGCGATTTGAAAGATAGAAAAGAAACATATTATTAAAGCTCTCTAACAACGCGCATGCACGGCAGGCAAGATTATCTAACAATAACAATCGACTGCACGACCGGTAATTTGACAGTAAAGGTCTACCGACAAACAATGAAAAATCAATTATCCGGTGGCCTAATGCATTGTAAATTCTTAACGAATGTAAAGTTGTGCTTTGATTTTATTTATTTAACAGCATAATATTGAATCCATCACTTCTATAAACAAAAACAATGACGTATTAAAAAAAGGACAAATCACTAATCAAAGGCTTTTTTCGAACGTAACTATATACCATCGCGTGATTCATGTCTACTACGGACAAAACGCTATAATATCAAGCGAGGGAAATAAAACAGATCGAAATTTAATTTGAAAATCAATATTAAAATTATTTAAAGAAATCAAAGAGGTACTGATAAAAAACATTACTTGGTTGCTCTAGTAGCTAAACAAAGTCATTCATAATGAGATGACTGCTAAATCAGGGCATGACACTAAAAATACATTACTTACGAGTCTGGCTCCAAAAGTATCGACGAAATACTGCAGTCCGGCATAAGTCTGACCTTTGCCCCGCCCGTTCAAGAAGTAGTCGATGATGGCGTCCGCGGCGGCTTGATGGCCTTGAATTTCATCGATTATGTCTTTTGGTATTGAATTGCAATTCAATTCTGCCTTGACGTCAGTTAATCCATGGATTAGAGGCTCGAATTTTGTCAAAGGCGAGCTTCTGCACTGGGTTATTAGAGCCAGCAACAGTGCGACACGTTGAAGTCGAGATATAAACATGTTACCGACGAGCATCTGAACAGGGATGAGGAAATTATTCTCTCTGGGTATGAGAGCTGCGTTGAAGTACGCGAACTTCTGTTTTCGTGGGATTAGAACCGCTTACTATGATTTTTTTTACTGATTGACTAGTAAACAAGATGAATTTGAATGCAACGATAATTGTTATTTTTTGTCTTGTGTAGGGATCTTAGCTGAATATTCGGGAGTACTTCGGGAAACCGATTGAGAAGAAAAACAAAGGTACCGGTAACCAATATGTGGAAGGTAGAATTAAGATAAGGGATTGACGATCCTGTAGCAGCGTACGAATTCAGGTTTCAGGGCAGACTTATTTTGGGATTAAAGCAAGGATTGGTTTGTAAATTCAGCCAACTGCAGAGGGACAAGTCTACCAGGATAGAAGTCCACAAGAAGCCGTTACGTCTTGAGATTCGGTGTTCGTTCAATCTCAAAGATATCAGACTAGGTTCTGCTACTGAACTCTAATACTGTGTTTGTGATTATTGGAGACTATGCGTACGGTGTAACCGTGTACTTGAACTATTTTCTGTACTGAGCTCTAAGCATACGAATGAAGAAACAGGGCTATGCTATGAAACTATGTACTAAACCGATGTTCTATCTAACTTTATTCAAATGTCCTTAATTTAAGTGTTCATTCTTCGTTTAATTTAAGTGATTCTGTTAATTGTAAGATCTTTATTAAACCTCGGCACCAAAGATCTTACATCTTGCATCTCATTTCTTGTCTTTTCTAATCAAACGTGCTGTTGTTATTAAATGTATTTGACACAAATTATATTAAAGTCCTTAACTTGCATGCATACTCGACTAATGCAGCAGACTAATGCATAATTACCTCTCCCTTTAACTGCAAAATCCTAAATAAAATTCTTCCCACATTAGAATCCGCAAGCGTCTATATTGTACTGGTGTCCATCTCAAGAGGTTGACATCAATCAAACATTTTAACTAGGATAATGATTCAACAAATCTTATTAATTGGGCCTCGCAGCCTCATTTGAGGTATATAAAGAATGCACTGAAAACACGACCTGAAAAGTTTACGGGCGAGTGCTTCCCACGGCTGCAGCTGAATGAAACCCAAGTTCTGTTCTTTAATGTGAGTGCCGTATATGTTTCCACCGCAGCACGTGAGACCCACTGCAGCTTGCCGCTATCAATGAGATAAGGTCCAGACGCGCCCCTTATCATCAGCCTGACAAAACGTAAACAGAGATACCTTGAAATAAATCCATTATATAATTGTTACATGAAGCTTTTCGTTCAAAAAGCAATGCATTCGTAGATCACGAAGATCTTATCGTATTCTTATTTCTTGAAAAATACGTTTAGTTCCTGTTAATGTTAGTGAATTGATGCGAAACGTTAATTTGAGGATATATTCGCATGAATCTCATCAGCAATCATTAACATGAAATGTGTAACCATCAAATTAGAAAAAACTGTTTTATCTCTAATCAGGGTTCTACAATAATAGTTTTTATTTTTAGGTATAAGATTTTTACGAGTTTTCGGCGTTTTAGAAACGTATCAGTTCTATTTTCTAATTTTTAACTGTAAAAAAAAAAAACATTTTACGCATAGATGAATGACCTAGACACGCACTGCATTTTCCATTCTCCTCTTATTGAGGCGGTTCTAACTCAATTAAGTTCGTTCACAACTAAAACGATAACAAACACTTGAACGCATCGAGGACAAGGTAACGAGCGACACGATCGTATCAATTTCGTAGACGTGGGAATACCAATTAGAGAACCTCGTGCCCTAACTTATCATAAAAAAACAGCTGTAGGTACTCAAGATTATGACCAGTCAGAAATTTAATAATTCATTAGTCAGGTTTGCCGGTTCATTCTTGAAGACGATTCTCTACTTGTGCTCATGAATGTAGTGTATTCATTCTATTGCCCAATTTATGGCAGACTAGAATTCCAAGAAATTGTATGAAGTAAACCATTAACCCGCAAGAAATACAAACGTGAAATCAAATAAAGCGTAAAATACATACGTTGCTGATAGATTCATTGAATGTCATCACAATAGAATATGCAGTGTGTTGTCAATACTCTTCGGGAGTTAACTGCTTTTCTTCATTCGTTAACGACTAAACGCAATGAGTTGAAGGAAGCTTAAACGAAGTAAAAACTTAAAAAACAGGCCTTCTTCATGCATTCTTAGCTTACGAAAATTACCCTTTCTAATTTTATTTATCCCCTTTCTTTGCGTACGAAAATTCCCCTTTAGAACTGCTCCGCGATATGAGCATTGTTAGATCAGAATTTTCACAGATGCTTGAATAAAATGCTAAAAATAATCACGAGGGAAGAAAACGAGAACATTTCAAATGATTTACTGGAAAACAGACGATCTATGATGAAAACTGCTATCACAATGGTATCACTCTGAACATAACTAATGTAATAGGAATGCGTAGAAACCACCAATTTGTCGAAAATCTAATTAGTATCGATGCAATTCGCATATGAAATGCTTAAATTGCAGAGGGAAATTTCTAAGAATTTAGTAACTTATCTAAAGGGAAGCAGTCAGGCACAAAGGTTCTCCGCTAAATGTACAAATTAGTATGGAAGAAAACGTTCGCACCAGATTTGCAGCAAATTTGTTCCATTTCTTATAAAAGAAAATTAACCAAACTAAATTACAGTTTCAACGGTCAACAAATAATAGATAGTACCTATAAGATATTAATGAAAATATGTGCCAGCCATATTTTTCAAAGCATTTCCTCATTCAAAAAAAAATCAATTGGTTTCAACGGTAACAATCGTGTCGGATGATCACGAATCACGAACTCGCAATCGACATTCTTTTACGAGCTCCATGCATCGGTACCAGCCAAGCAATGGGATGGCGGTACTCACTTCAAGGGAACACAAATTAGATCCTCATACACAGCAAGTAATGTCGTCTTAGAGCACGTGTAAATTAATCCCCGTGCTTCGAATGGGGATTATCATGATCCCTTCCCTTGTTGTCTGATCGTCAACTCAAATAATAGAAATTCATAAAACGCAAATTATCAGATTTTTAGTTGTCTACCCTGAAGGAGGACCAAAGTATAATTCCAGACATCACATATATTTTCGTGCAACTGGTCCCAAAATAGCAAAAGTTCTCTTAACGAACAGTGTTTAAATAGCGTGCCTAAAGTATAATAGTGTTTAATCCTGCTGAAAAAAGTAAAACAAACAACCAATGTTGTAAAGTCTCAAACGACCAGCGCTTTTTTCGCAAAAATGGCAGTGTTAGTGCCAGAAATATTCGAATACCCAAGTAATTAATAAACAACAATAAAAAAAATATTTTTTTTTTCACAAAAATGTCTGTGTTAGCGTCAGATATATTCGAATACCCAAGTAATTAATAAACAAAAAAAAGTACATTTGAAAACTATCAGATAGAAGACACTCGTACGTGAGGTCGCTCACACAAGACAAGACAACGAAGGGAAGTACAATGAATCCTGCAATTCTAGAAACAAAGTGGCGTGAAATTATCTTGGTTTTCATCAAGTTAAGACACGCGCCAGGGCGGACGCTTTGAAGATAAATGGAATCCAGAAATAAGATGATACAAACTTGATAATAAATGAAGACCAGCTTCGGCATTAGGGATAAGAAGATTAACTTTCGTGCGTTTTCCTCAGAATGACATAGCAGTAACAAATCATTGACAGTCAAGCCTAAAAATCAGATAGTCTATTGAAAGAATTGAATAGAAATAATGAGAACTCAATGACGCGCACTAAAATAAATTATTTGACATAAAATCAATTTCTATCAAGCATGAAATAGAAAAAAAATATCTAAATAAATATATAGGTGGGTTCATTCAAATTAGATTTTGCAAGACCAGCCCGCACTTGATGAACATAAATGAACTTCAGATAATGTTGGAAATTCAAATTTGTGTCCCATACCGGTACCATAAAAAAAGTTACAATAAAAAATATATATAATTTTTAAACCGGTTCATTGACTGAAAAATCGTACTTAATATAAGACACAAGTAATCATTATTGGAAAAATGTCTACTTATAAACGTCCTAACAAGAAGACTTGTAAAGAATGTAAATTCAAGACAAAAATAATTCTGTATTCGTGAAGACCAAAGGTAAAAGAATTCTTAAAGTGGACAAGCAAGTGAATTAACTTCATTCCTTAACACTTATCATTTCATTCTAAAACAGAAGGTAAACTCGTAAATGTTTTATAACTTTTCATTAAGCCTTACGATATTTGAGCAAAAGCGAGTGTTATTTTAAATTTACTACACACTCTGTCCCATATAATTCGGTCCGATGACTATTGACGCTATGCTTAGATTAGAATATTACCGTCCAATTGGTTAAAAATATGTCGAAATTGGCAGTTTTAGAAGCTAAGATTCCTCCTCAAGGTTCTTTTCGAACTTATAGCAACACGAGTAAAATAATTTTTCAATGGCGAAGAAATGCTCAAGCAGTGTCTGTAATTACCCATTATCATGAAAACTCGATATCTTCCCAAGATAGACCAAATGTTATAAGATACGATATTGATGACACTTTATAATCGGCATTTAAACGCACACTTGCATTAAAGTTTCAAACACACTAAAAACTTTTCGAAGAATCTATTTTCAGGACACCAAGTCGCCAAACAAAGGGTCAGATCATTTTTTTTTTGCACATGACAGATGATATAGTTTAGATATGACAGATCGTAACTATCGCGTCCCGGCACGATAGTGTTCACCTAGAACCAGCTAGGCACTGCCAGTCGACTGACGAAATAATTATTAATTGTCTAATTCATATTTCGTTGTCTGTTTTGTTTGAATTGCAGCGAGTAGTCGTATTTACAGGCAATGACGTGGGACGACGAACTTCTGCTGTAAAGTTCAGGATGTTTCAGGACGGCGGCTAGGTGGCTGGGTGGGTTAGCCGCGGCCGCGGGACGACGAGAAGCGATGGCAGGGCGAGCTTCTGTGGAGTTTCCTGAGCTGCGGTGGCCTTTCTGCGAGCAATCACTATGAGAGTAATCCCATTCAAATATTACCCTGAATTTCATAACATTTTTAACGATACGAAGAAAAGACACTGAAATCAGGTAATCCGGTTTAATTCTGGGCGATTCTTCCAAGAAACTAAATTATTTATAGTTGTACAAAAAGTAGTAAGAATGATTTCCTATCAAGAAAATAAATTGCCAAGAAGGTTGAAAAAGGTTAGACGACGTGCAAAGATCGATGATTCACCTTGACAACAGACGCGAGTCACGACCAGCGGTGACAAATCTTTGCGTATCAGCCACCCGGAAGTATATACTTGAAGCGTAAAATTTGCTGACAGCTCACTTGTGTAGATGTAATATCATTATATGGAGTCTAAGATAATATTACTCCCACACGCAAACCATTAATGAAGAGATTCTACAGCGTTGGACAGCCGTAGTTGACTAATCGTAGAAAGCCTGCAGATTTCAAAATAAACTAATTGATACCTGAAATCATTCATTGACGAAAACTTACCTCAATTCAAATCACCTATAATCAATGGCCAATCAAGATCACTGGTAATAATATTTCTTTAGACACAAAATCTCCGGCGTTAGCAATCTGTCATGTCATGGAGCAGGCGGGAAGAATTATGAAACTAGGACTCGTTATTTTGTTGACTCGTTAATTTAGGGGCATGTTTTTGGTCTCATAGGCCAACAAGCGTGTAGAAAGACAGTTCACAGGACGGTCACGATGGCAAAACTATAAATTCAAGTTAAACTAAGAAACAGACAACGGTATTCTTGCCACAAATAATTTACACCCGACACAGTGAGGCATCAGAGCAGCACAATTTTACTTAAACATGTCAAAATTAAGTCAAATTTTACCATTGATCAAGTGAATTTATGGTAGAAATAATCACACGAGGAATAAGTGAATTTTAGCGTAAATGTTGTAACTATACGTCGGGCAATAAACTTTCTGAAGAATCTGGGAATGATGTCGGCGATAACGACTGGGCAAAGATAACACAAGATAATAGTTCACTACTTTCTTATTGGCATATTATTATAGAGGGAATTATATCAGAGCTAAAAGTCAAGGCCAAATGAATAAAGTGCTCCAACAACAGGATTTGCTGACAAACTAACATTTAGAAGCCTACCGGTATCAAGTTTCGAACTTCATTGGGATACGTTTTCAACGAGTCATGTGAACAGAATACATTGCTTTAATTATCAAATTAAAGTAGACTGGGATGCACATTGTCATCCTTTCTAAACATAGCAACTATTGTAATCGGGTACCAACTTTTTTCCAGTCACAAAGTTAAACTAGACTCGACCACGTCACTATTTGCCAGAATGCTCGCGGGTGACAATGCTGTAATATATGAATGAGTCCAAATATACGGGCATTGTGAGCAGTGTTGCCACAATATGCCAGGGCAACAACAAACGAACGACTCTCATGCTTAAATAACATATACTGCCGTAGTCGCCTCAGCTGTCCTTTGTCGTCATTATCAAAGCATTTAAGCGCGAGCTACATTCAGCTCCATTATAATTTATTTCATGATAATTACTAGCACCTTATGTACATATACGTCACCGAATTACTTAACAACTAACACCGGTATATTAAGAAGATACGATAAATGCGACAAAGATAGGTCCCTATAAAGAGCAGCAAGGCTTCAGGAAACAATACACACATTGTTTTTCGACTTTCATAGATTTCACACAGAATTTAGAATGACTGCTCTCAGAAAAATGGCTAAGTCATAAGTCATAATTTCTAACTAAAGATACATTTTTTCCGCGTAGAACTGATACACCCATGCTCCAGGTCGAACTGGGCCGGGATGACCACACAAGGGCAAAAAGTGCATCGATATTTGGATAAAGTTTTATTTTTCTGAGCGTGGTAATGCCGACTCTCTTCCCCAGACTAGCGCGACAGTAGAGTTGCATTGCACGCAGCACTGAAGCACGTGAAGTCCTACAGTGGCTTACTGTCACTGATCTCCTTATCTCTCGAAGCATCAATCCTACGTTAATCATGCACCCAGCCTCATATCAAATTCTAAGCAAATTTTATTTCTCGCGGCCAATAACACAAAGCTTGCCTAGTGTTTGCTATGATCAGATGAATAAAAAGTAGATTTAATCTGTACCGGTATTATTATTTTGGCTGTATATGATTTCACATTTCAAAATTCCTAGTCATAAAATTCGAATAGAATTGGTGAACGTTAATCGGAACTTAACCCTCATATTTAAAATGTTCGTGCATAAGTTAGTTCTTAATTTATAAAACTTTGTACATCTTTTACAACAGATCAGAAATAGCAAAACGTTTAAATGTATCTGTGTAAACACAATTCTCTCGGACAGTCGAGTGCCCGACTAGCATGCAGAGGTGGGTTTGGTCACGTCGGTGGCTGGCTTTCAATGGAAGCTTTGTTTTCTAAGACCTAATGCACAGCATGGACTCCCTGCATCGTTCCCACTTCCTACTCCAACCTTCCTAACACTCGTGTTCCCTGTGGCCTTCACAGGCAACGTTACTGAGGTTCATCCCATGGGAAGCAAGATTGAGTGTCAAGGTATCGGCATCTCAATCTTACCGAGACCGCTAATGCATGAGGTTGATGAGGGCTGAGGCAGTAGGAGTAGGTAGTCTATATAATGTAGTACTGAGCAGAAATTGTAATTCTATCATAATAGGTACTAAATGGACATTATACGAAAATGTAGTACTGGGTAGAAATTGTAATTTTAGCATAATACTAAATGGACATAAGACGAAAATATCTAACTTTCATATACAATTAATTATAATTTTTACGAGCTTCTTGTTACTAAAACAGAGGTATACGGTAATTTACCGTAACAACTCGTAAGACATTTCCTGTACATATAGTGTACTACCTAGCTCATCCCATATATACTTCAATAATTTAAACTGACCTGGGAGTCCAAGGAATACTCTGCTTTAGCAATGGCTCGAAACATGGCTTGTTTGTCGTGGGGTGGGAAGGGAAACTCTGCTGCCATCATGGCGTATGCGATGACTCCGACAGCCCACACGTCAACAGCCTGCGTGTAGCTTTGCAGTTTGACTATCTCAGGAGCCATGTATTCACAGCTACCACAACGACGCCTCATTTCAATGTCGTCCGTTGATCTGTCACGATCCAATTTACCGGATTAATTTAATTACAATTTTGAAAATATGGTACGATCCTAACCACATCAATAAATAATAAATATTGTAAACCTCTATTTTATTCTGTTTCAAGATTCAAGAATAATAGCACCAGACAATGAAAGCAATCATAGAACTAAATTAAAACGAGCAATTGGCACTTGGAAGTTGGAAACATTAACCGGCATCAGCGCAAACGCACTTCTTAGTGTGAGCGGTTGCGAAGTCGGTAATAACCACTCTTGAATCTTTTCCTTGATGATAGAATAGGATGTTATGTATAGTTAATCCTCGATGTGTTATTCCTAAGCTGTGTAGGTAAGCCACGCCGCTCAGCACTTGCCTCAACACCTGCAAGTCCACAAACGTAATTAACGAAACGAGGACACGAATTGGGAAGTGAATAGAGCATAGTCATGCATTTCAATAAAAAATCAATAGGCTAAAAATTAGGCAAAGTTTCGTTCTCTATATATGCCTATAAGAACACACTGCACTAGCCACTAGGCACAAATACGTACTCGGTTACCTACCTACAAACTTAGTAACCACGTTGACTTGTAGACTTGTAGTTAGGCTACCGACGTCAACAAATGAAGTGTTCACCTAGCTGCTGCGTCTCAAGCAAGCAAGTCTAGTCTACCAAGTAATCTTGACCTTCACTCAATAATGCAAAACTATTACATGTCTATTTTACTATTTAGATGAAATGAACAATTCTCTATTCATTCCTGCGAAATAAATGAACATTTCCGTCAGACTGTGATCAACCGAACTCTCCAGTAGCAGTCTCAAACTATCAACGTACCTTTGCAGCATTCTTCTCTGTAAAAATTCCTTTTTCGTGTATTCTGCTATATAAACTACCACCGGTCATCAGCTCTAGGACCAGAGCGATGGGTGTGTTAGTTTTGTCTACAAGTACTTCGTGCATTTTTATCGTGTTCCTATTTTTTATATGAATTAATGTATCACACTCTCGTTTCATTGCAGGCAAACCCACTGGCTTAGTTAGTAACTTCAGCGCGTACGGCTCCCTTGTAGTTCTATTTTCTATTCTGTAAACTGCAGTCATACTGCCTTCGCCAATCGGGGCTTTTATTTCGTACTTAGCCGTAATTTTAGGATCAAATTTTCGCGATTTCTTGTTTTCTTGATTTCTCTTGTTTTCTGTTCCAAACTTGATGCGATCTGCAAGACTGGCATTGGTCGGTTTATGTGTTTGCTCATCAATCGTTCCTTTATTGAAAACGTATTCGATGTTCACTGATTCTTCTTTGTCTATAGTTTTACTGTTACGGCAACCCATACTACTTAACGAACGCAAATGGTCAATACGTGAAAATTTGACCGCCACTGTTACAACACACTGAGCAAGCACATCCTCACACCACACTGGTTACCAACTAACTGAAAACATTCAAATCGCTGCGGGGATAATGAAGCACTCTTCGCATCATCGCGTTTCCATAGAAATGCATTGTAGCATAAAATCGAACACCCCATTGTTGAACTAGTATATAGTTCAACCCCATAATCGGATTAGTGTCAGTTACCAAGTTAAAAAAACGTCCATGTGTCTTCGAAGTTAACTTCTATTTAGTTGTTCGGGTCCCTTAGTGGTTTTGATTGGAAGAAGGCGGTGAAACAGTAAAGTTTGAAAGTAAATGAAGTTGAATACAATGTTTCATTACATTTTATTACAAAACACTAATATAGGATGTTGGTACTAATGGTCTCAGTTTTGTTTTGCATCGTTAAAATTGGATTAAAGAATAAGCTCAGAGTTCACTTGAACCTGACTAAGCTTGACTGCCACTCGCGTATAGATAGCAGTTCGACATACACGCCATTGCGTATATCTACTTCAAAAAGAACGGTATTTTGGCGCGTACGTCGATTGTAAATGGCTCATGAAAATGGCGGGGGAAAATTAAACAAAAATAAAAAATCTTACCATATGAGAAATAAAATAAGGGAAAAGCATGAGGATATTTTTGCGGCCAAGATTCCTTCTTTAAACCGATGCCTTCTCGTGTGATGAAATAAGCGTTTTTACAATACAAATACTCGAACAAAGCATAACCGAACGCTTTAATTATCATAGGTAGAAGGAACATGCCTGATTGTCGTTTGTGATAACTGATATATTGGTTGCATAATCGCATAAGCCAACACTGGATTTCAGTGCACAATTCGGAATTTAAATATCCAATTTAGTGTCGTTCGTTGTGAAATTGTAAACGAATCTGTAATTGTAAAACTGAAAAGGGAAAAAATAAATCAACAAGATATTACTATCAGAGAAAGAGTGGCCTTCAGACGCATTTTTGTTAACAGTATAAATCAGCGGTGCGGTTATGCTCGATTCGTCAACAATGAAGACACAGGAAGAAACAGAATCAAAATTATAGCTTTATAGCTTTCACAATTAAGCGCTTAACAATTAATATGCGTTCATCTCTACACTATATTTACAAGGACCACAATTTTCGTCAGCACACGAAAAATTAGTTTTCAGGTTATTACTATAAATCTATAATAAGGAGCGACAAGATGAACAAATTTAAATATTTCATGGAGACAACGAACAAAGCTTCTAGCCCTTAGCCTAGCCCAAATACAACTCCCTCGAACTGTAAAAACGAAGTTTAGAAAATTGGCACATATAGTTAGGCACGCACATCAAAGAGCTTCTTGCCTGTACCTGACACGAGAAGAGTGAGTAAAAGCGTGTGCAATTTCATATTAAATTTTACAGAAATATTTACACTTCCACTTGCTAAGATTCAAACAAAAAGTTCATTGATGGTCGCACCCACTATACCCATGAAGGTGCCATAAAATTTACATCCTGAGTAACCTGAATAAGTGGCATAGAACGACTCTCTGAACTTTACGTAAGTGAACATCACAAGAAGAAAAAACGCGCATCTAGCAATAATTTTGTCGTTGAGGTCACTGGAAGCTTATAAGTTTTGTCTTCGTAAATATAATAGTTCAGTGCAGTATTGATGAATCACCCGAGCATACATCTCAAAAATTTTACGAGCAAACTAAACATTATCAACCTGGCAAGACTTTTCCTCGTTAAAGTCTACATAGCGGTAAAAATCACGAAAAGGTATGTCAGATCGAATAGCAAAAAAATACGAAATCGACGATAAAATTAGGTCACTTCTTATCTGATAAGATAGTTTTACAGATAAACAAACCCATAGTAAGAATAAGACTGGCAAACGAGATAGCTCAATGAAGCTAAACACTTTCCATAAATCGTAACAATGACGCCAACATTATTTAAATACTCGCATGAGCGCGTCTAGTTAAAATTGTAAAGAATAACAAACTGAAAAGATTGTCCTCACAGTTTCGGCCGCAAGCAAATTGATGAAAGTACAGTGGCAAAAAAAGGTTCAAGCACTTGCAGAGCTTTCGATTCAATTTCGAAATCACACACAAAAAGTGCAGCATCTATAATATTAAACAAATGGTCCCATAGTAGCTAAACCGTTGCAAATATGAGGTACCTAAATGAAGATAATTTACACCGTCTACTAGAATATTTTGCGTTAGTAAGAAAAATTAGAAGACTGATACCGTGAACTTGAACATTTCAGACTTGTATGCTTAAGCCATCCGAAGACAAAACGAACATTGTGGATGATCTCAAACAGCGACGTATGAGATATACGAGTTGTTCACAAGACGATATGATGTCCAATAAAGCGATGACATGCGCAATAAATTGATATTAATTTAAGAACATGAATATGATGTGGAGTGTGTCGGCCATTCAAGTTAAAACTTTAACACGTAATATAGAGTATTTATACATAAATGGCACTTCGAAACTTACCTTCGTCCTTCACACTTCGCCAACATGGTAAACTTCCTCTCATTACACTTCTGTAGAACTTAGAACTTTAGGACACTAAGTGTACAACTTTTGCCAGGTTCTAATATTAAGTACGATGTTACTAATGAGCATAGACGCAGATTTCCCAAAGTTTTAAACGAAAATAGGTTAAGAAGCAGGTACACAGAGGTTTAGTATTGCGATTCCTCAAAGCGGGGTAGTCTCGGATAACAAGAAAAATTTATAAATAATCTGCGGAAACACGAGGATCTCGTTCGTTACAATTTTAAGAAGTCGTAAAAAGTAAGAATTGCCTGTAAAATGAACACAAATTCTTGATAATGTAGTGGACACAAAGGGCATTCATTTAACAGAATCATTGAACGTGAACACAAAGAGGCTGGAACTAAAATTAATGTGTCAGTTTGTCGAAATTCTATTGCAAGATGGAACGTAAGATCGGTCCAGCATCCTTGGTATCCTTAGCATAAACCTATGCTCATTCGAAGCAGCCAGAAAATGGAAGATACAACAAAATAAACCAACATTGATTTTTTACACAAATCTTGGGTCAAAAGTGGCAGTTTAATGTTCAGATGGTTTACTGCCCCAACAAAATTTAGATGAGGGCTCAACTCTAATACATGCCGCGTATGACCAGGGGAGCATGTTAGGCAGCCGCTCTATGTCCGCTTCAGCTCTGGGTTTGGAGGGCAGCTTTTGGATAGCTTGAAAGCTTGGTATGACTTGAGAACAATATCACTTACAAGGTTTCCAATGGCTATCCCACTGAAGCAGACAAGAAAGAATCAGCTTTAACATCTCAAAGCAGCAAAGGAATAAGAAGGGACACGTGAAAAGCAAGAGCACCAATGACACTCGCACATAAGGTCGCTTACACTAGACGTCGGCCACCCGCAAGAGACAGAAAGAAAAATGTAAGGATTCCAGCATGAAAAAAAAAACAAATGAGAGCAAAACCCAAAAGAGGTGTCCAAAAACCCCACTCAGACACCTCACTCACCGCGGCGGGGCGCTCAAAAACAATTCGTCTAGGAACACAAAATCTCATAGGAGTTCTGACGAGCACAGGCACGCATCAGAAAAGCCTTCTTGAAACGCACCGTCAGTGAATAAATGGCAACTCGAGGAACATTCTACGATATATCGAATTATGATCATTCTACCAATAGCGAGCAATTCGAATACGCGTGGTCGTCGATGCCGCCACCACAGAGCCAAGCGAGAAATAAATTGCATATAGGGTCACTAAGGTGTATGAAAATTTAAAAATAAAAATATTTCGGCTAGGAGTAAGTTTTTTAGGCAAGAATTAAGCGATAACAAAGAAAATAATAATGTTAGGCGCTTTCCTCAAGTAGTCAACAAGCAACAATTACAACAGGAAATAAAATAGGAGTACAAAAATTCAATGCTTTCTAAGCAATCTGCAGTGCATGCAAGTTACAGGCACTGCACTGGTAGATTCAGGTAATTTTTACATTTAGGATGGAAAAATGCCTAGCAAATCGATGTCGACGGAAAGGAACGAGAGAATAAATTTCAGTAACTATGCCCTCAACGAGTCCATTATCAGCAACTAAAATCAACCCACGTAGTAAAATACGAATGCAAAGCATAATTAAAATACACCAGACAGATTCTATTTTTTCCCATTAAACAAAAAACAACTTAGTCCACTTTTGATATTCACTTCAAACCACAATCTATAAAAGTTTAAAATTTATTGACCGATTTATGAAGTATGTAATAAAACCCTTGGTCTAAAAAATATAAAAAGAAATAAACAACATAAAGTAGTAGTAGTAGTAGAATAGTTTGCTAGCGCTTCAGCTATCAAGCTGTTTCGCACCGGAGGTCAAAAGATAACATCGCCAGCGAGGCGGAAGGTCTCAGTTATTCAAGATCTCAAGTTAAACATCGCCCACAATTGTCCAGCCCGCTGAAGCAGGCTCGAAAGAAGCAGCGTTAGCATCTCAAAGAGACGAAGTGACAAGGAAGGACAGGTGAAAAGCAACAGAAACGAAGAACCTCGAACAAGAGGTCGCTTACACGGGACGTCGGCCGCCCGCACGAGAGAGACAGAGAAGAGAAATGTATGGAATCCTACCTACATAATAACTTAACCCCACAACTGAGATCTGCAGTCAGACACCGCGAGCTCAGCGGTGGGGCGCTCAGGTATAAACAACATGAAGAAAATAGCTAATATTAAATAATACAAATAAGTATTGGAAATGGAACACAGCGTGAAAACGGCATCACAGATCACCGAGACCAGCCACATCTCCACACATCGTGTGACAACGTAACATCTCCGTGTTGCATCGTGCAAGCGTCCGCGCGCTACAAAAAGACGTGCGTTTAGTCATTTTAATATTTTACAAATCTGTAATGTGAAAGATTCACACGTGGAAAATAAATCCACTGTGACATTTCTTACGCGCAAATATTATACTTCATTAGAAAATATATTTTTCTGATGCACAATATTAATATTGACTCGAGATTCGGTTGAATTTTTTAACATCTTGACGCTGACGAAAATTATTACACAAAAATACGGACATTTCATCGTCATTGGTAATGGATTTTAAACCCATACGCAACACATTAAATTTTTCATTTTCATATAAGCTCATATTCAAATGAAACGCTGCGCAGTTATACATGAATCACAGTTTGACTGTCAGATGAATAGCATCGTTTTCATTCCATATGAATAACACGGTTTCAATTTCAAATTAACAAAGTTTCAAAGTTTGACAAGATTCATGAACACGCAACTTACACTCTAATGAGCATCATACTTTCGAAACCTTTCTCTAAATTACGTGATATTTCACTGTGTTAAGTATTCTTCTAGTATTAACAATACCAGTTCAATTTATTCAGTGGAGAATATAACAAGTACTGGCAAAATCTTGGCTACAGAGACAAGTAAATAATAATTGTTTCACAATTGAAATAAATCTTCCATAAAGAATATTCCTATTTAGGTAATTATTGTAATATAAAATTTGTACAATGATCATTAATGTGAGAATTCTTCAAAAATTCGAGACTATGATATTTTGTTGACTAAGAATATACAAGCCAGTATGAACGAAATTAGTTTTCAAAATTCAGGTGATCAAACTCCGGTAACTAATGTATACTTGATTAAGTTGAAAAATTCTGGTTTGAATGATTTTTTTGCGACATTCTGGTTTGAATGACGCAACATAAATTCTGTTGGATTGAATTGATTAACAACAATCCGCTAAAACATCCCAGTTCACAAGTAGGCTGCAAAAAACGTCCATATGAAATCATTTAACGCAGGAGAAACGGTATCAAACTAACAAGATATTTAGTATTCCCGGCTACAAATAGATCCGTGAAAAGTGACGCATCACGCTAAGTCTTACCGAGTTCTTTAACGTTTTTTGATTTATCTCATTCACTAAAATTTTTTCATAGTACGTCTGATCCTCTATTGACGAACATTACATGCAACAGGAAAAACGCATGGCAACAAACTTGCTTATATTTTTGACCAAACAGGTTGTGTCTCAGACATCCGTCGAAAAATATTTGTCCCTCAAAAAGTTCATTAATCGGTCAGTTTCTAGCTGGACACAATAAGGAAGAAAACTACTGCTTAACACCAACAAAAGGCATAGTGTGTTTAGCAATATACAATAGAAGACTGTGGACATCACAAGAATTCTAGTAGACCAAGCAACTCTAAGCTAAAGTGTTACACAAGACCAACTAACGCGGACGAGAGTCTAGTTAATGAATCAGAACTAGCAAGCAACAGCACCAGAAAGAAACCTGATTAATTATATCATCAATGACATTTTAAGAAACAAGTAATTATAAGGAACTAAATAGACGGTAAACCCGATAGGACATTTATACATGGCGGGTACTGCGTACCGCATCTCGTGGTCATATTGGTACTAACATTTATCTATCACAAAATAAATCAGGAAAATAGTGTCAAACAAACGAAGATACCAGCACTTCGGTGCAAGAAGAGCGTTGTATACGAATGAATTTACTCAGCATTTCCCCGCCTCGGAACTTTCAATAATTACAACTCCTCCCTCGAACAGGGATTTAGGATCAAGCATCATATTACCGAAGCGTATTATCTAAGCTCCAGATACGAGTTCATATCCCAGGTTTCAGTTGCTAAGTCATTGCTTCAATATAATAATCCAAGCTCACATGATTAACACACACTCAACTCGCGGGAATGGTCGATGGAAGACATCTTTGCTCTACAGTGTAAATTACTGATTTATCTAGTCAAGCACGAAAATATTTACCAAGCATCAACGGCTGTCTGGTCTCGGGAGGAGCCTGCTACCTGCATACTCGTCCTTCAAACTAGAGAAAACGAAAAACGTAATAATGCTTATAAATGTTACATTTAGATCACATGCAACGTGCATTTTCTTGCGCAGGGATTGAAATCCTTTTTCACAGCAAAATCTGATATGCGAGATCTTCCGAACTTCTTCCTCACAGTATACTGCGAAGAAACGTTGGTGTAAGAAGGAACATACGACAGGTGTCAATCTTTCTTTCATCGGTCATTCCAGCGAGTCTCAGTCAAACATTTTAAATGAATCGGCTCGAAGATTAAAAAATGAAGTATTATTAGTTATTTTCAGAGCTCAGGAAAGTATGGCGACAGATCGCCTATTGTTAGCATTGACGTTATCAAGGCTGTTCCATCGCTTGCCTAAAGAAGCACTGTCGTGAATCTGTGCAGCGTATCGGTCTTCGAAGTCACGACTGAGCGCTTCAAGTTTATGAGCACGTTCCTTGCTCAGGGGCTCCGCAGGGAAGCTGAGGTCATTCTCTTCGGCAAGCGTTCGTAGACTGAAGTAATATTTGGCGTACACCGATGCTGGCACGTTGATGTTGAACTGGATCATCACCAGGTACTGGCGCTCCAGTTCGTTCCTGGCTCACAGAAACACAATTTTAGAAAGCCAAAGAAAGACTATGGAGTCAGTTAAAAATCATAATTTATAGTAATAAAGAGCTTCCCATATGATTAAAGTCTATTCAGATGTTCCCATTTGATTCAACAAAAGCCAGAATGCAAAAAGTTTCGAATACGAAACACAGATCGTGTGCGATTCAAAGTAAGGTAAGGAAGAGCTGCGGGAAGGCAATTGTATTGAACAATAAAGAAATGAAACAGAAGGTACACGGTCTCACATGTCATCGACGGAAATATCTCTGAGTATCTGGCAGTAGTCGACGTTCCAGACGGCTTGATCGTCCCACACTTTACTGGCCAAGATGATGGCGCCCAAGACGATGCGCTTCCAGCCGCCGGGGGTCATGTCGAGCTCGGCGTACGTCAGTAATCTGCTCACGGCGAAAATCTCAGACAATGTCATTCATAATAATTATGATAAGAATGTACTTGATTCGGGCGCAAAAAATGATTGGAATAATCCACGTTAGTATACGACGTTCGTCAGATATCCGTCGATTACTGCACTTCAATTAGAGTTACTAGATAACGAGTTCCGTTTGTTACCGCACGTTAACATGAGTTAATAGATAGAGTTAGAAAGCTCATCTTCCAAGGCAAACGTTAACTAGATTTACTAGATGATGAGTTCCGCTTATTACTGCACGTCAATTAGAGCTACGAGGTAAAGAGTTAGGAAGTCAGATCTTTCGAAGTATACGTCAGTTAAGAGTTACTAACTTGATGAAGAATTCCGTTTATTACCAAACATAAATAAAAGTTAAAACGTTAAGAGCTAAGGAGTGAAACCTTTCAAGGTAGACGAGGGTGATGATGGCACACTCGGCTGTAAGCTGCGCCGCATTGAACAGCGTCCGCACAAACTTGTAGATGTGGCGGTGCTCGGGGATGTGTTTGTCGTAGTCAGGGTGCACGCCGTCCTTCTGTAACCCAAATGCAACTTACACGCGGCTCTTCTGCGTCAAATTTACTATTTAAGAGGTGCTTTTTGGATCGATACTTAACAAAAAAGGTCTATTTATGGAGTGTTTTTATGGCTATTTCAATTCAAAACTTCTGTTTAAGGAGCGCTTTTTGCAAGGATATTTTGTTTCATAAGTTCAATTTAAGAGGCGTTTTCAAGGATATTCCACTTAAAAGGTTCATTCAAGAGACGCTTTCTGTCTGGATAATTCACTCTAAAAGGTATATTTCCGGGGGCAACTTTTGTATGGATATTTTACTAATAAAGTTTCACTCAGCGGGCGCTTTTTTTAGATATCTCACATTAACAGGACATCAGTGAGCTCCGAGGTAACAGGTTCTCAAAAACTGGGATTGCTTTGTTACAAAATAGTTTAAATTGCCTCACAGTTGTCTTACGTTGATCAGGTATCTCGAAAACGATGGGTTTGCACTGAAACACCTTATATATGAGGCGATGTTCGGAGAACCATCCATTACCGTTATTTATCTCAGTGTTAATGAAGGAGCGTCGCCAACGTATGAGCGAGGCGAGGTATTCAAAATTCCGTGATTTTCAGAAGTGAAGAGCAAATCTTATTTTCATGCAAGTAACTTGAGACGATGACGGTGCTTTACTTGAAAAAAACTGCCGCTTAGTTGAAATCTTAATGGTACATCGGCATGCATATTTGAGATTATACTAAAATTTGACGCGTTTCTCGCACGATCGCTACCGTAAATATTCAACGTATATTAACAAAGTAAAATATTTTGAAGTAGAACTGGGCTGTAGAAAAATGACGTGTTGATAATTTATATCCAAACAGCACGAACGGCAGCAAATCAATGTTATATTGACTATATCATTAAATGTTATATTGACAAATTATCATTAAATGCAAGACGCGAGATTGGAAATTAAAGCGGCATTAAATTTATTCAAATTATTACTAGAATTTTTATTCAGTACGGAAGTGTGCAAAAAAAGCACAAACGTACTCCATTAAATTAAATTTAAGGAAGACATTGGTTATTTTATGACCGAGGTATGTGTTTTGTTCAAGATCTATAACTTTTGGATCAAGATGTCTTAGATCTAGACGTTTTAGAACAAGATGTTTTCGCTCAAGATGTTTTAGATCAAGATGTTTTAGATCAAGATGTTTTAGATCAAGATGTTTTAGATCAATATGTTTTAGATCAAGATGTTTTAGATCAAGATGTTTTAGATCAAGATGTTTTAGATCAATATGTTTTAGATCAATATGTTTTAGATCAATGTTTCAGATCAATATGATTTAGATCAAGCTGTCTTTGATCTAGACGTTTTAGAACAAGATGTTTTTGATCAAGATGTTTTAGATCAATATGTTCTAGATCAAGATGTTTTAGATCAATGTTTTAGATCTAGATGTACTAGATATGCAGTGTATCATCAAATAAGTAAAACGTAGGATAAATGTTTACCGTGAGAGGATGAAGCTTCTCATCGAAGATGTCGAGCGTTCTGGTGCCGGTTGTGTTGCGGATGTGATAGTAAATAGCGAGCGCCACGCACTTAATAGTGTTCTTAAGATTAGGCTGAGACACTGTCGAGTCGTCCAAATAAATTGTAGAGCACGAAGATGACTTCTTTAGAGTTCGACAGTTGTCCAACTGTTGGAAAAAAGAGATCATGATAACTTTCATGTTTCGAAAAAATTCTTAAAGTATGTGGGAGGAAGAAGTTCTAATTAAATGAACCTGATTTCTTTAAGGATAATCTGAGTTGTATATAGTTCGTTAACAGCGAGTCAGTTAACTGATTTGGTTAAACTAGCACGAATTTAAAAGGACAATTGATATTAATTAATCTGGGAGAACCTTGGTTACTTACTTCATTTCTACTTCTTCTTCTCACAATGTTATCTGAAAAAACAGTGCCACAAATTAACACAACAATTAAAACTCTCATCTCTACTATGAATATGACACTACGAAAATTCAATATTTTCAAACTTTCTCATTCAAACTATGTAAGTCATGGGAACACAAGATAGAAATAGAAGACAGGAACAATTTCAGTCAAGTCAACCAATCCACTATCCATTGCTACACCGTATCCAATATCAATTGTAAAAAAATTGCTCGGAAAAATTTTTTTCCCCCAAGTAAGGAACGCAAAGACTGCATTAAATTGAAGTTTCAACATTTTATAATTTGCATGAAATTTGTGAAGGTAAACTGACTGTGTTGCGCGCGTCGGGCTTTGCTGAGGAAGAGCGGACCGGCCGTGGGGTGCAGGGACGGGTCTTGGTCCAGGTCATCGTGTTCCCTCTCACTGATGTGCTGGATGTTGGTGGTGGTGCCATCCTCCCCTACACTCGAGGAGGTGTCCCCTGCATTCACTCTTGTGTCCCCACCGCCCCCATTGCGCCCGTCAACAATGCCGCTGCCGTTGGTCTGTATCGTGACCGGTGGGGCGCGGGTGGTGGGTGCGGGGACCGGTGGAGGACGGGAGCCCAGGGAAGCACACAGGGAGGAGGGAGTGGCACCGAAGGTGGTAGAGGAGGAGGAGGGTTCAGGGCGAGGAGAGGTAAAAGAACTCGAGGTTAGTGATGGCAAAGTCAAAACGTTAGTAGTATTTTTGCTAGTGGGTAAATAATCAGGATGAGTTTTTACGTCACTATAAGCAGCAGAAGTTGAGCGAAAGCCAAGCGTTTCAGAAAGAGTTCTAAGCAAAGGCTTGATTTGTGGGCCCTTGGAGCGGGGGCGAGATCTAACCGGAGCTTTGGGAGCTGCACTTTGTTTATTAGCAGTTGCGGTATCTGAATAATTAACTTGGCAAGCGTCCTTGACATCCGGCATTGATGATTTCTCCAAATCATTACATGCATCAAGCATAACTGGGATGGGCGGGATGTGCGAGAGCTGGCGTTCTGGCAGCTGAGTAGAGAAGCTTCCTACTCGACCACCGCCATCAGCAGGTCCCGGATTAAGGCTAAGAACATTAGACACCTGATAAGGTGAAACTAAAACAGGACCCTTTTGGCCATTAGAGTTTGGTAAAAGCTCGCTGGACGTTTTTGCGAGGCTATTCAGAGAATTTTTATCGGGACGACGAAGTGTAGACTGAATGCTGGAGTAATTTGAGGCGTCCGAGTCAGTGGAGAGGTACCAGCTGTGGCGATGGTTGCCTCCAGAAACAAATTTCAGCTCGGCTGCGGTGAGTTTGTTGAGTTGTTCATTGAGTTCACTGATGCTCGGGACATGAGGTTCGTAGAGAACGCCTGCACTAGCATTACGTGTCACAAATTGGGGTTTACAATTTGATGCCGCTTGAGTTCTGTAATCGCTGATAGGAAGCACTGACGGATGGCCACTGTACTTCTTTGAACTCGTGTCAGGATCTCCACCACAGCACTCAACTTTTCCTGGAAATTTCTCTGCTGCTCGTCCAGTAGGATAAAGAAAGCCAGAGCTATCTTTCGATGAGTCACGACAATTGAAGTCCGACCTAGGATATGCATGCTGTTCATCGTTACTTACGAACCTCTGCAACTTACCCTCTGCACCGTAATTCTGATGCTGTACTTCATAAGGAAAGGAGGAACTATGACTGATGGGTCTCTTTTCAGAGGGTTGAGAAATTGATCGTGAATACGGAATACTTCCTTTTGCCGACTGCATGTAGGGGTGTAAATTATTTATCGCTTCATTTCTCGAGAGCGACGCCTCAGGTCTGACGTAACGATAATAGGACCCATGTGTGTGAGTAGAGTTAACAGGTGCCGCGGCACTGCAAAACGAATCAGCGTCACCACGACCATGTCCTGCCGTGTAATTCTGACGATTACCAGCATTGCTTGCAGCGCAGGAGTCCACGTGAATGCTGTGGCGGTACCGGGAAGGGCTGTTTTGTTGTGCATCTCCCCAACTGTAGTTGACGCGGTCAAAACTAAAATTTGGGTCAGGGACATAATAATATGTGCTCAAAGTGGATGCAGGTCGCACCGAAGTATGTTTCTTCTCTTTCTTCATTGGATCTAAATTATTGGAGTTCGAACGAGCGTCTGATTCGCTGAAATGCCTGCCGCGCAAGCTGGAACAAGTTAAGCGACTCTTTCCATGAAGACGCTCGTACTCGAGGGCTTCGGACAGCAGTAAGTCGCACTGCTGTGCTTCGTTGTTACTTTGCCTGAACTTGGATTGGTTAATGTTAGAAGAAAGATGTGCAGGTAGCGGCACGGAATATACTGAGGCTTTCTCCTGTTGATGCCAAGGCTCGCCATACTTAGCTGCACTCTTGTTAGTTACGTGAGAATTTGACGCAACTTGCGTGTTTTGAATATGACTGACAGATTGTAAGCGGCATCGAGGATAAGTATAATTATAAGAATTTGAGTGAACAACTTTGGTCTGGGCACAATACATGGCAACACGCGGCTCAGTATCTGCCTGTCTAGTAACACGCGTTGAAGAAGCAGAGGGTGGAGGCAATGATTTTGCTGCTGATGGGAAACTCCGCGATGCGTGTAAAGGGGAGGAAGAGTACGGGAAAGAGGAAGGAGGTGTGGCATTGCCCCACACCGATTGGTGTGAGGTCAGACGCAAAGGACCAGGGGACCGAGTGGTCATCTACTGGAGGCAAATGTTGAGCTAGAAAATCAGCATCAGGGCAACAATCCACTTCAATTATACAAGCCAGAACACAACTCAGGTTACATGTAGAAAATAACAAAAAACAATTCATTATGGGAACTCAATGAATATCTCCATACCAAAAATATTGTTGTTTTTTTAATGTCAGGCAAGTAAAATCAAATGCATGGAAACCATTCTTATCACAAAACACATTTGTTACCACACAAAACAGTTTCAGGAATGATACACATCAGTCACAAACAAGAGAAAGGAATGAGGGAGAGAAAGGAAAGAAGCATTCATTAGAAAGAAGTAGAAGATTGAAAGATGGCATATAGAAAAGCTTATAAATTGGAATGAACTAAGGCAATGGCTCAATATTATTCAGGAAGTAATTTAAGTATAAATCTACCTATGAACAAAGTTAAAATTTTATGAAGAAATGCACTTACCTGCAATGTGATAGCCCTTTAATATATAAATAGCAGGACTTGGCGAGATGCAACATCATAATTTGTACTTGAATCATTCAAATTTTGTGTATTTGTTGGTCAGAGACATCACAATATTCTAATCAAACATGAGCTAGATGCTAAATACTTGGTTCTAATCAATGATTTAAGATCTGCTTAAAACATTGTGCGCCAATGGAATATAACATTTAACAATCTACAAAAAACCATGCGCATCAATGGAATATAACATTTAACAATCTACAAAAAACCTTGCGCATCAATGGAACATAACATTTTTCAATCTACACAAATACTTTGTTTATGCCACATAAAAGGCCTCATAATTGTTCTTTAGAAATAGATAGATTTTAAAGAATGATACACCAAACAAACCTTGTGAGAGTTGGATGATCGTCCTGACCCACGGCCTCCTGGATAAACACAGCAGCTCTGCTTGTTGCCCATACTCTAGCACTCTTGCAAGCCTGCAATTTATACTTCCATTCAGAGAATAATAATACAAGATAGGGGCAACAATGCAGTAACTTGTAGTACACTGTCGAGCAATAAAAATCTATGAGATTACCAAGGAATTCTAATTCCTGAATGATCATGTCCTAACAAATGTAGAAAAAATGTTAAATTACAAAATTTTCAACCAATTTCAACTTATTACAAATACCTGACCTATTAGATGGTAAAACTTGCTTATTTAATCAACATGACCTACCAAACCCAACCAGAATTTTTTTCTACTTCATTTCATCCCATACAAAACAACATCTTAAACCTTGATATAAATTTAAATAAAATAAATTAATTTAAATACATGAAAATTAAAGATACATTAATCAAATTGATTTTGTGAGAATTTTGATAAAAATCATGTTTGCAGTGCTGGTGTTGTTGTGACGCATCTTAAAGACAACCGACGACACCTATTGGGTACTTTTGGCAGCGTTTTTGGTCTACAAATGCAAAAATGGGAAATGCATTTACCACCAAACTTTACACCCAGTTAGGTTGGCAAAAGCCTTATTTTTTCTAAAATTTTGCGGCTCTAATATCATCTAATTTCAGTAGATATGAAATCTTGCAGCTCTAATGTCATGTATATTTGTTTGATTGAAAAAATTGTGGTTTGCACTTTGCAAACATGTTGTTTCATAAAATTTTCAACTTCCACAATCTGCATTACTTCAAAGCTCCTGAAAAAATATCTTGCAGAATGTAATAACAACAAGTCAACCCAAAATGTTTCCTTGAAGATTGCATAGTTGCAGTCACGTCAGGTGGTAAGACTGCATTATCACATGTTCAGCCTTTCAGGTGCCACAAAAGTAAAGTCAAATGTTAGTGTTGCTTTATGATTGGACTGTTTTCAGGGTAAAATGAGATATTTAGGTAACACAACTACACAAGCATGGAAAACATCTCCCTTAAGGGAGCTTTCCTGCCATTTTTGGAACTGCAAGATTTCCTCTAGATGAATTACCTCCATCTAATTGTTAACAAAATTGCAAAATTGGTCCTCGAGATTCCATATTGTATTAAAAATCTGTCACATTGGAGCCACAAAATTTCAGAAACAAGTAAGAAAATTTCAATCCTGGGTAATGCCTGCATGGGACT